TGGACAAAAGACAACATAAAAGCAAGAAAGCAATTCGCTGAAAAAGTGAAATAAAAATAAAAATGGATGCTTCATGTGCTTATCCCGCTAGCCAGTAAATGGCACTCTTCCTAAACTCACAAGAACCAAAACAAGAATATAAATTGCATATACAAAAAATAAAGGTAAAGGACCCCTGACAGTTAAGTCCAGTCACGAAGAAGTCTGGGGTTGCGGCGCTCATCTCGCTTTACTAGCCAAGGGAGCCAGCGTTTGTCCACATAAAGTTTTTCCGGGTCATGTGGCCATCATGACTAAGCCGCTTCTGGCGAAACAAGAGCAGCTCACGGAAACGCTGTTTACCTTCCCGTCGGAGCAGTACCTATTTATCTACTTGCACTTTGACGTGCTTTCGAACTGCTAGGTTGGCAGGAGCTGGGACAGAGCAACGGGAGCTCACCCCGTCGCGGGGATTCGAACTGCCAACCTTCTGATCAGCAAGCCCAAGGCTCAGTGATTTAGACCACAGCACCACCTGCGTCTCAACTACAATTGCCCCAAATGCTAACCACAGCTCCACACTGGTGGCTGCCATCAACCCAACCCCTCCTTTAACTACTGCATTCCAGAAACCAGGCTTTTCAGCTGGAGTATAGAAGAACACTTAGCAGTGGTCAAGCAAGTGGAAAGCATATTAACATCGGGGAGATATTTTATTGATCTTTCTAAAAGGATGCCCGGGCCACTTAATATTTTAAAAAATATCTGCTCAGCGCATGGCATAAAAACAGCAAACATCGTTAAAGCGAAAGTACAACGCATAGCCAGTAAAACAGCACTATAAAAACAGGGCTGTGTGCCGAATTTGACCGAGGCTCGATCGAAGGCACATCTATGGGGAAGGCCTTGGATGAATGGACAGCTGTGGGTCGCTGCAAGTCCAGTTGGGCTGGACCAGAGTGATCTGCAGCTGTCAGTGAGGGGTATCAGGCAGGAAGAGAGGCAGACATGATGCAAAAACTGTAATCCACTGGAGCAGTGAAGTACAACCAGGGGGCAGGCAGGTGTGGAGAACCACCTGGTCCTGAATGGGGTAACGGTGCCCCCGAAGAACCAGGTGCGCAGCCTGGGAGTCATTTTGGACTCACAGCTGTCCATGGAGGAGCAGGTCAATTCTGTGTCCAGAGCAGCTGTCTACCAGCTCCATCTGGTACGCAGGCTGAGATCCTATCTGCCCACAGACTGTCTCGCCAGAGTGGTGCATGCTCTGGTTATCTTCCCGCTTAGACTACTGCAATGTGCTCTCCGTGGGGCTACCTTTGAAGGTGACCTGGAAAATACAACTAATCTAGAATGCGGCAGCTAGACTGGCGACCGGGAGTGGCTGCCGAGACCACATAACACCAGTCCCGAAAGACATATGTTGGCTCCCAGTACATTTCCTAGAACAATTCAAAGTTCTGGTGCTGACTTTTAAAGCCCTAAACGGTCTCGGCCCAGTATACCTGATGGAGTTTCTCCACCCCCATCGTTCAGCCCGCATACTGAGGTCCAGCTCCGAGGCCCTTCTGGTGGTTCCCTCACTGCGAGACATGAGGTTACAGGGAACCAGGCAGAGGGTCTTCTCAGTAGTGGCACCTGCCCTGTGGAACGCCCTCCCATCAGATGTCAAGGAAATAAACAACTATCTGACTTTTAGAAGACATCTGAATGCAGCCCTGTTTAGGGAAGCTTTTAATGTTTGATGTTTTATTCTGTTTTTAATCTGTTGGGAGCCGCCCAGTGTGGCTGGGGAAACCCAGCCAGATGGGCAGGGTATAAATAATAAATTATTATTATTATTATATTATTATTATTATTATTATTATTATTATTATTATTGGAGGCAAGTGCTTTCTCGCTCGGACTTGGAAGGTGCAGGGCAAGCAGTCTGCGGCAGAATCACTTACAAACCCCACCCTGCCCTGATATTCTCTCTCTTTCTCACACACACACATTTCTAGACTGCCACATCATAAAACATCAGGCCGGTCTACAACAAAGCACTAAAAACTATGCAAATAATAATTAAAAGTGACTGGCTAATTAAACAGCTGCAAAAGCTTGTTGGCGTGGACTTCAAGAGACAACTGAAAGCAAAAAAAACAACAACCCGAGGATGGCTCCTGAATCCCTGCTGGAACAGGGTTACACAGGACAGTTTTGGTGAAACTAAATGGTTGCTTTCCAGCCGAAGCAAGTTGGGTCCCTATACAGTGGTAGCTCTGGTTATGAACTTAATTCGTTCCGGAGGTCCGTTCTTAACCTGAAACCGTTCTTAACCTAAAGCACCACTTTAGCGAATGGGGCCTCCCACTGCCGCCGCTGTGCGATTTCTGTTCTCATCCTGAGGTAAAGTTCTTATCCCGAGGTACTGCTTCCAGGTTAGCGGAGTCTGTAACCCGGAGTGTTTGTAACCCAAGTTGTTTGTAACCCAAGGTACCATTGTAATACAAGGGGCAACTAACAGCACTCCTCCGGATTATATCATGATATATAAGGGAAAGGAATCAGGAACGCAACCACTAGCTCATTTGTAAAATGTCTACGTTGCCTTTCCAAAGCAAGTAAAATCGTACCTCGGGTTAAGAACTTCGCTTCAGGATGAGAACAGAAATCATGCGGCAGCAGCAGGAGGCCCCATTAGCTAAAGTAGTACCTCAGGTTAAAAACAGTTTCAGGTTAAGAACGGACCTCCAGAATGAATTAAATTCTTAACCCAAGGTACCACTGCACTATCTTCAGCAGAGGCATGTTAGTGACAGCCTTCTCAGTGGTGGCACCCCCAATTTGGAACTTCCTTCCGTCATATAGCTGGCGCCTACCCTTTTAAGTAAGTTTTAGAAGCCAGCAGAAGACCTGGTTATTCACCCAGGTTTTGAGTGGAATCCAATGCCAGTACTGATGTTTTTATTTGCTTGGTATTGCAACTTGCCTGCCTTGTTTTTCAAAATAATAAGACCATTACTAAAAAGTTTTAATTGTAACCTACTCCAAAACTGTTCTGTGGTCAAGTGCAGGTAATACAGAAATGCATAAAAGGTTGCAAACCATCTTAAATAAAAGCAAAGGAGATTGCTTATACATGGCAGCAAAATAATCAATCCAGAAAACAGAGGCTACAGAGCAGGTCTGGGGGACCTCCCCCACCCCTGGCTATGGATAACTACAAGTCCCTTCTCCCTAACCATTGGCCATGCTTGCTGGGCCTTGAGGGTGTCGAAATTCAGCAACTGTAGGGTCAAAGATTCCCCTTGCCTGCTACAGCGGAAATGCAGTACTTTTCTATGCTTCTATGCTTCTAAGACTATGCTTTCTTCTGTAAAAATCATGCTAAAGAGTTGGGGTCATCTTATACATGGGTAGTGCATAGGGTGGACGTTTGATTGGTTGCTGCCAAGGCTGTCAGCAGCTATTGTGCATGCTGTTGGTTGCTGCTTCAATGGGTGGTGTTGATTGGCTGGTGCTCCGGCAGTTGGGCGGGCGATCTGCAGCTTCTGCCAGCAATAGGACAGACAGGAGTTGGATCTAAACCACAGAGCCTAGGACTTGCCGATCAGAAGGTCGGTGGTTCAAATCCCCGCGACGGGGTGAGCTCCCGTTGTTCCGTCCCTGCTCCTGCCAACCTAGCAGTTCGAAAGCACATCAAAGTGCAAGTAGATAAATAGGCACCGCTCCGGCGGGAAGGTAAATGGCGTTTCCATGTGCTGCTCTGGTTCGCCAGAAGCGGCTTAGTCATGCTGGCCACATGACCCGGAAGCTGTACGCCGGCTCCCTCGGCCAATAAAGCGAGATGAGCGCCGCAACCCCAGAGTCGGTCACGACTGGACCTAATGGTCAGGGGTCCCTTTACCTTTACCGGGTGAGCGATTTTTGGCAATCCCCCCCCCCAAAATAGCTAAACAACTCTGGATAATCCTTTCCAACTCTGTGCCATCTCCCCCCATTTTCTTAAATTTGAGTCCCCAGAAACAGGGGTCGTCCTATACATGGGGTCGTCTTATAGACGGGAAAGTACGGTAGCTCCCGTTTGCAAGGAACACACTGCTAGCAGTAATTACAGTTTGGTTATGCGATAAAACTAGCTCACAACTTGTAAACCGCAGAAGTGACAGAATGCAATTTGCATCAGACAAATGGCTGATCAGACCATTTCAAATCATTTAGACATTTGTTTCGTTGGCAACGTGCCTCTTGTAGCAGATGCTATACCCAGCGCTAGACAATCCCTGAGCATCCTTATAGATAAATCTATGAAACTGATGCTACTTGGCTTGTTTAGTATGTCTTCTTTACATGGGCGTGATAGGAGCTCTTGAAAAACGCAAGAATTACTTTCCACTGGGGCAACCCGTTCTCCTTGTCACATAATATATGATTCAGCGATGCTTAATATGTAAGTTGTCTCACAGGCAGACCAATTCATTAGTCTCTGCTTTTCCTACATAGAGGAAACATGAAACCACCACAAAAAACCATAGACTTCACCTCTCTGTGAAGGAGAGGATCTTCCCACCAAATAATAGATTTGAGGCCATTGTCACTGCTTAATTAACGGTTAGCAGGCTTTCAACGAGGATGGATTCAGTCTGGTTAACTGTTTTTGTGGCTTCTGACACTACGGTGTCCGAAGTCACCCAAATGTCACTAATAAGGGCAAAAATGCCACTTAGATGGGAGAGGAGGGCAGCACTTTGAGTCCCAACCATGAAATAAATGACACAATGCATCTCAGCTGCTGAGTAGGACCATGAAAATGTGTTTTGATTAATGAAAGAGATCAGATTTCTATACAGCCTTGTATGGATTCTAGAAATGTCACTGCTTCAAAATCACCGAGTACCAAAATGAAGAAATTTCAGGTTTTATTATTCATCATTCCCAGGGCGAAATCACCTAGAGAACAGCCTGGTCTCTTAAAAACAAACAAAAACCCACAATGCGCACACACAGCTGTACTGCACCTTGCAGGTTTGCCTTACCTGGTTTTAAGTATTTCATTGACTTTTTGCTCCAGTTCTATCCTTCGTAGACGTTCTTTTTCCAGCTCTTGTTTCAATGTTTCAGCATTCGTTTCTTCTCGCAACTTCCTGAGCTCCTCCTCTGTTAAAAAAGGGAGGAAAGATAAAATAAGGGGATTGTCCTTGATAAAAAGGTAAAGGTAAAGGGACCCCTGACAGTTAGGTCCAGTTGTGGCCGACTCTGGGGTTGCGGCGCTCATCTCGCTTTACTGGCCGAGGGAGCCGGCATACAGCTTCCGGGTCATGTGGCCAGCATGACTAAGCCGCTTCTGGCGAACCAGAGCAGCGCACGGAAACGCTGTTTACCTTCCCGCCGGAGTGGTACCTATTTATCTACTTGCACTTTGACGTGCTTTCAAACTGCTAAGTTGGCAGAAGCAGGGACAGAGCAACGGGAGCTCATCCCGTCATGGGGATTCGAATCACCGACCTTCTGATCGGCAAGTCCTAGGCTCTGTGGTTTAACCCACAGCGCCACCCGCGCCCTTGATAGCCAGACTAAAATCAAGCACCAAACCTAGGAACTTAAAGGCTGAATGGGTTGTTCATGTCCCCCAAGGCTGTACTCAGGGAGAGGAATAGGCATGGACGGTGGAATCAAATACAGTGGTACCTTGGTTCTCAAACGCCTTGGTTCTCAAACGCCAAAAACCTGGAAGTGTTTTTGAATGTCTTTTGGAAGCTGAATATCCGATGCGACTGTTGGCTATTGTTTCCCAGACGCCTGCACCCATCAGAAGCTGCGCCTTGGTTTTCGAACATTTTGGAAGTCAAACGGACTTCCGGAACGGATTAAGTTTGGCGCTTTTGTTTTTGCTATTTATTTTGCATTTTTGTTTTTGGGGCTTTTTCACTTCATTTGTTTTTGTGGCTATGTGGAAGCCAGTTCAGCTACTGATTGATTGTGTGACTGCGGAAATGGATAAAAGGCCCACATCCAAACAATGATGGATCACCAGTGCAGGTAAGAAATAGTAATAATTTTAATTTTTATCATCTACAATACTGTCCTATTTATTTTATAGTACAGTACATTGATTATTGCTTTCATTATATGGATCAATGGGCTTGTTACATAGTAAAATTCGGATTTCCGGAACGGATTAAATTTGAGAAACAAGGTTTAGCCCAAAGATGGAAATTACAAGAATTACCAACGATTGAGGAGTGGCAGATGATGATGATGGAATATGCAGAATTGGCCAAAATGACTGTGAGGATTCGGAACCAAGGCGATCAGAAATTCCAGAGAGATTAGAGTAAATTTATTGAGTATTTAAGAGATTATTGTAAAAAATTGAAGATACTAGCAGGACTGACATAAATCCTGCAACATAGGGTAATTATTAGTATCTGACCGTTAACAACAGAAGGACTCGATTTGTATTAAAGGAGAGAAACTGACATTAGAAAGGCGTGCATAACTTATGAGGAAACAGAAAACCAGTTCAAGGGAGGGAGGGAAGTCACGAGCTCAGCAGAGCAAATGCATTTGATTGATTATGGTAATGTTGCTATATGTTTTATTAATGAAAATAATAGAAATTATATCAAAAAACGTTTTGAGAACCAAGGTACCGCTGTAGTATTATATGGGTCATACTTCTGAAGTGAATATTCCTTCACATCTCATAGATGGCTTGCATGCATCCAGTGAAGAATACGATTGGTAATGCAAAGCTCATTCTACAGTAAATGCCTTTGCCATTCTAAAGCCGTGCGCACAGGATATTTTTTGTTTTTTTGCTTTTTTCTAGGAAGGAAAGTGCTTCTGACAATACTGGCTTACTAATAATGCAAGCTATTATTGCTTTTAAAGGTCTAGCTCGCCGGATTAACATAGTGCAGTGCTCGTGCTAGGTTTATGAAAGGCTTCTTTTGTCCATTTGCCTTCATTTTATTTTTAATGACCTTTTAAGAATTGTTTGCACAGTCACTCAATCTAATGCAGGTGGGTGGGAAATGAAATAGCGGGGGGGGGGGGATGGAGGATAACTTTGAGTCATCCGAGGGTTTGTACACTCTGGTTTTAAGGTAATTATTCAGATACCATGCTGGCTTCAAAAGCTTTCCTCATTGTTCTGTGGAGGAAGCTCTTAAAAAACCCCACAAAAAACACCAGAGGGAAGATGCAACATCAGGTGATTTTTATGCTACCATATACTGTGTACCTTTTTATTTATTATAATTACTTTATTTATTAAATTTCTAGACTTCCCTTCATCTGAGAACCACAGGGTGGTTTACAATATAAAAACACAAAAATGTGTAACGTAGTAAGAAACCAAAACAATACACACACACATGCCCAGTTTGAAAGACTGTTTAATTAACCAAAGGACTGGGAGAAGAGGGATGTTTTTGCCTGGCGCCTAAAGATATGTAATGAAGGTGCCAGGTGAGTCTCCCTGGGGAGAAAATTCTAGTAGGCATCGCAGAAAACTGTTCGTGAAGGAAACACCCGAATAAAGGTCTCAGGTGATTATATCTCAATTTTTCAGCGAGATCTGGAAAGGAGGTACAGTGGTACCTCGGGTTAAGAACTTAATTCGTTCTGGAGGTCTGTTCTTAACCTGAAACTGTTCTTAACCTGAGGTACCACTTTAGCTAACGGGGCCTCCTGCTGCTGCTGTGCCGCCGCACGATTTCTGTTCTCATCCTGAAGCAAAGTTCTTAACCTGAGGCAATATTTCTGGGTTAGCGGAGTCTGTAACCTGAAGCGTCTGTAACCCGAGGTACCACTGTATTCTACTGAATACTTGAACTTTTTCAAGCTTCACATCAGGATAGGATTCTTGTTGGGTTTCTGATAACTGGAGATTTTCCACACCTTTGATAGCTTTTCCTCCACCATTCTAGTTGCAGATACTTTATAACACTGGAACATATCCTACAAATATGGTTTTTACCCCGGTTCTTCTTGCATTGGTACCGTATTTTACTTTAAATGTTGCATCGTTGCTCCTGAATTTCAGAAGATCATACATGGAAGCTAGATGTGTGACATCTAACATGCAGGTGTGCGATACTTAAATATAATAATCTTATATATTCCAGATGATAAGATTTAGTCTGAATGTCAAGGGGTGTCCACAATCTCTTCTCTCCAAACGGGTCACCACTTTCTGCCCTGATGGATCTGGAGTGATGCATAAAACTGAAAATAATAGCAACCCCCTTGGTCGCCCACAGAATTTCACATGCTCGCTCTTCCTTAAACCATAGCAGGGGCACAGCAGTTGCACACATACAGAGCTCTTTCTGAAACACTTGAGGCAACATTTCAGAAAGAGGCAACCACATGGCTGTGATGGGAAGAGTGGAAACACTTGTCTCTTGCGCTTAATGTATCTGTGATGAGTAAAACTCAGTGTTTCAACTCCAAAGTTGCACCTTCCCCTTCTTGCAATATTTGAGGTCAGAGGTGTTTAGGAAACAGTAAAAAGCCCCATCCTTCCTTTAATTTTCTGACCTTTTTACACTAGTACAATGGTACCTTGGTTCTCAAACTTAATCAGTTCCAGAAGTCCATTCCAAAGCCAAAGCGTTCCAAAACCAAGGCGTTCTTTCCCACAGACAATAATGCAAAATGGATTAATCCACTCTAGGCTTTTAAAAACAACCCCTAAAACAGCAATTTAACATGAATTGTACTATGTAACGAGACCACTGATCCATAAAATGAAAGCAATAAACAATGTACTGAAGCCACACAATCAATCAATCAGTAGCTGAACTGGATTCCACAAAAAGCCACAAAAATGCAAAATAAATAGCGAAAACAGACAGACTCAAAACGGAAGCGTAACACTCAAAACGGAGCACGTTTGGCTTCTGAAAAAAGTTCGCAAACCAGAACACTTACTTCCAGGTTTGCAGTGTTTGGGTTCCAAGTTGTTCAAATACCAAAGCATTTGAGAAGCGAGGTACCACTGTACTGAAGTGTATTACATTTCAGATAGGGAAGACAACCAGAAGCACTTTGCATGATCTGTTTTCCCCCCAAGCAACATTAACACAGAACTGTGCAAATCAACGTTCTCGAACCAGATGCCTTCCAGATGTTGTTGGACTACGGCTTCCTTTATTCCTGACTAAGTTGGTTGTGGGAGGCCTCCCTAGAAGACCAGACATTGGAGACAAACAGGACCATTATCACCATGCTTTATTTGTGAGCTGTCAGTAAGCATCTCATTGCCCTTCACAGGGAACAGAATGATGGACCGTTGGGCAATTGGCCTGATGTAGCAGAGCTTATCCATTCAAACCTATCCATTCTGAAGGAAATCAGCCCTGAGTGCTCACTGGAAGGACAGATCCTGAAGCTGAGGCTCTAATACTTTGGCCACCTCAAGAGAAGAGAAGACTCCCTGGGAAAGACCCTGATGTTGGGAAAGATGGAGGGCACAAGGAGAAGGGGACGACAGAAGACGAGATGGTTGGACAGTGTTCTCGAAGCTACCAGCATGAGTTTGACCAAACTGCGGGAGGCAATGGAAGACAGGAGTGCCTGGTGTGCTCTGGTCCATGGGGTCACAAAGAGTCGGGCACGACTAAACAACTGAACAACAACAACAAATGAAATAGCTGTACATTGCATCCTACACAAGCTGGAGCAGGCACTTCATACCTGTGCAATGTTCTGACCAGAATGAAAGATGACAGGCTAATTAGCTGTCCACAAACTAATTGAGAGTCAAACCCATAAGCTTAAATTGAGAGTCACCAAAGCAGAACTGCCGGTATGCTATGCTTGCAGAGGCCAAGTTAAATAATGAGGCCACTGGCAAGTTTAATGCCGTCAGCTGGCTGCGCGGATCAATGCTACTATTTCCCTGTGTAAACACAAGACAGAAATAGCTTTACTAAGCCCGTGTTAATTATGGCAAATCTCTTTAGAGGCTCTTTCCAAAATAGTATTTTGCATCAAGCATATTGTATAATTGGTACAGAGCTGACTGATCAAACCTCACACAGCGTCCGACTCATGGGCAGAGCCTTCACCTGTAATCAAAGAAGCATTTGCTACTTTTGTTAATGCTATTTACATTCAGAACTAGCAAATGGACATAAGATGATTTC